AGCCTCTCTCATGCTGGTCTGCTCCAGTAGGGAGCACTCCAGGACCTGCCCTGCCACAGAAACCTCCAGCAGTGAGTCAAGGAGATCCATTAAGCCCTCTGTTTTTTTTCTCTGGGAGTGCCAAGTGCATGGCACTCTCCTTTTCCCTCCCCTCCCTGCCACCAGGGGCCAGATTTCCGAAATAGGTGAAGGGGGAGAGCACAAAGAAACGGTGGTTATTTGCATGCCAGAGAGATTAGGGTTCTGCACATACACGGAGGGGCCGGAACAAAGCCTAAGTGGGGAGAAGGAGGGAATTAAAGGGGTTGTCTTGTGAGTTGCTCTCAGGGCTCTTAAGCTGCCCAGGAATTTTGCTCCAGCTGACTGCTATGTTTTTAATTTCTCCCTTAGGTACCAGGTTTCTGCCCCTTCCAGCACCATTGGCCAGTTTCTTTGTCAGCCAGGATTATTTTCACACCTGTATGCAGAGCCATCACTGTATTTACACTACAGATGCTCCCAAGTAGATCAGACAGGAATTCTCCATGCCCGAGTTGGGCTTTTCTGGGTCTGGTTTGTCTGCTATCACTGTCTTGTTGGCAGCACACTCCTAGCACGGGTCCTTTCTCCTGGTCAGCTCTCTCAGCTGAAGGACTGCAAGATGGCAGCAGCATCCTCATCTCTTGGCACCAGCAGTTGTGGGAAATGCCAGGAGTCACATGTGGACTAGAGAGTGCTGAGGGGACAGGGACTGTCTTATGGATGTGACACACACAGCTAGAACCTGGGAGCTTTAGATCTGGGTGCATTTCTCAAGGAAGCCCCTGTTCTTGGTGTCCTCCATGCAAAGGGGATGAGTTGAGCTGATTCCCATAGTTACTGTTGCTCTGAATATCAGAGAAATGCGAATCCTTTAGACAAAAGCGTGGATGGCACAAGCTGGGGCAGACCCCAGGCAGAGGGCCCTTACTTTGCATGAGTGGTCTTACTCCACAGCCACCCTCAGCCATAGCCCTCCTTCTCCTCTCCAGGAGAAGAAAACAGAGTGCAGCACTTAGATGCTTGCTACCACCATGGCTCCCTGCAGCAGAGCTCCCCATAATTTCAGGATGCTGTGAGTCACAAAAAAGAGGGAGCTGAATCTGGCTCTGAGCATGGATTGGGGCAAATCTTCTGTTTCCTATCAGCTCTTGGGTTGAGCCACTGAGGCCAGCACAGGCTACTCTAATCTCCCTCCCAGCCCAGGTCTCAGGGACTGTGGCAAGGGACAGAAACATGGACTGAAAACTGGGGGCTATAAAGATATTTTTAAGGGGAGAAATCCCTACAAGGAAGAAAGGAATAATGATACACTCTCCAGCTACCCATACCTCCCCCATCTCACCCTTTACTGGTGTTTTCTGGATCACTGACACCCTGGCAGCCAGACTGAATAGCCTCGCTCAGTTTCTGCCATTTTGCCCACTGTTCCTGTCCCAGCTGCAGCTGACTGACAAGCTAGATCCAGCTGTACAAAAGGTGACCTGCTGCCAAAGCACACTGATTTCTCAGTCAGTGCTGGTGCTCCACTACAGCACCATCTGCTGCACATAGCTACTTCAGGTAAGAGCTGCCACCAAACATAGCCTGAGACTTTTTATCCAAGCCCCTCTCCCAGCCTCACCTTTCTTGAGCTCATCCTGCACCACAAATTAAATGAATCAATCAAACCATTGCAATCCATCTTTCCCTCAACCCTGCTGCTCCCTGCCAGCATCCTAGCAAGAAAATATTTGTCCATCTGTGACATGCTCTTCAGAGATTTTGTAGCTCCGCCGGTCAGTGATGAGCCCGTGGCATCTGATTTTGAGGAGGACATTAGACAAAAACCTGTGGGCCGTTGTTTGAGTTTGGAGCTGGAGGGAACCTCTGCAGGAGCCAGTTGCTCAGTGCTACAGAACTGTATAGCAAAGCATGAAAGCACTTTTACCTACCTGCAGCTAGATATTGGCTGAAAGTGATGGGGTGCACCAGAGGAGCTCACCTGTGGAGATGCCGCCAAGGCCAATATGCCATAGCACACCTCTGCTGGAGATTTATCCCAGCTGTGAGCCGGGCAGTTCAGAGCTGCCTCCTTCCTAACACCATGAACACCTGCTTGTCTGCTCACAGCAGTCACACCACATACCCTGCACCTCCCTTTGCACACTCTACAGCTCACTATCATTTTGTCCCCCGGTAAGGAGCTTTATCCACCCACAGGTAAAAACACTGTGTGTGAGTTCACATGCACCTAAAAGCTCTTCAGCATGGGCACCTCCCTTCCCCGTGCATCCCAGGAAGTTGAGCCAGAGCAGGTACTGCCACAGAACTTGCTGCAGATGGTTGCAAGAAGACTTGTGCCAACACCAGGAGGCACAAGCCCAGGCTGGAAGGGTGAAGACCACAGCAGGTTCAGCTGTGGCCACAGACCCTGGACACACATAGAGAACAGTGCAGCCGGTGCTAGATCATGCCCAGAAAATCCCCAGTGCGCTAGACAAGCTGCACCCAGGAGAGTCCACACAAATACTCCTAGCGCCTCCACTCAGTACAGATGGGGTGGGGAGTCTATTTATTGAGTGCAAGGCCCACAATTCATGCCACCAGCCTCTCCAACCCACAGACAACCCCCTGGGAAAGCATTTGTTAGAGAATTAAATGAATGCTGGCCCAGATTAATTGTTCCTATCGGCCGCTGGAGCGAGGGTGCAAGCACTGACCTGTGCAATGAAGCGATGGCCTCCTGAGCACAAGCTGAGCCTCCAGGGGTTGAGCAGATCCCTCAACAGCGCTTCCCTCTCCCACTGGCTGGCACTTCCCGGCTCTGGGTGACGGTGCCTGGTCAGATGGTCCTGCTGGATCTTCTCTCCATGGTGGGCACAGGACAATGCCTGCAGGAATCTAGCACCTGTCAGGCAGTCTCTTGAGCTCCACGCCTCCCTTTGGAGAACTATGTCCTCACAAGACAGCTAATCCCCCTCTCAGCTTGCTTCCCTCGTTCCAGTGATGCCTAGCAAAGCTGTCTGAGGCAGATCTGGGGGGACACCCTATGTGGGGCACTCCCTTGCCTCCTGTGGGTGCGAGCAGTGTTCCACAGCACCCCCAGTGTAGATGTGGGTCAGGAGCTGCTTATGGTTTCAGGTCGGCAGAGACTAGCGGGTGCTGAGCGGGCAGAAAGCACTTCTCCACTTTTAAGAGGCTTTTCCAGCCAATGGGGACGAGGTGGCTGCCTGCCACAGCCCGAATCCCCTGGTAATCCCGCTGCCCAGGGGCTCCTTGCGTTTTCCCCAGCAGAGCAGGGCAGGCTGGCCGGGATCGATTCAGTCGGAGGGACCAAGACAGGAAGAAGTGGGGTGAGGGTGAGGGGTGTTGGGTGCTGGGGAAGGAGGCAGGGGAGGAGGAGACTGTGTGTCCCTGCTTCAGTAAGGGGCAAAATAGGTAAAGCAGCTGCTTTTGAAGCTTCCTCAGCTGCCAACCACAATGGAGAAGCGGTGGCACAGTTTTGCAGGGCGTGTGCCCAGCAGAGAAGTGAGACAAGGTGGAGCAGCCAAGGAATCGCTGCCAGCCATGACCCAAACTGCCAGATCCTGCCCACCCCAGGCAGCTCAATAACCCCCCTCAAAACCAGCCTCCCCAGTGGCTGACTCACAGGAGGAGATCTGGCAGGAGCTGGCAACCAACCAGTCTCTGGCTGCTCATGGGGGGAACCCTTTTCCTTCCAGGGGTAGGGCTGGGGCTCAGCCCAGGTTGGGTTTTAGGGAAGAAAAGGCCTGGGCTGTAAACCCCTGAAGCCCCTCAGCAGCAGGGGGGCGGCGGGGGCTTGGCCACACTCACAGCCAGGGTTTAATGTCTATTAATAAGGTTAATCAGCTAAGCCCTGGCCATCGCTAGCGCTCCATCCCTCACTCACGCTGCCTCTCCCATGAGGGCTCCCCCAGCACACGCAGGGTATTCCCAGATTGGTGAGGCCCCTGCAGGCCCTAGGGGAATGTTCTTCCCCTGCACGGAGCAGCCCTGGGGTGCCCAGGGCACACGTTGCAGCAGTGGGTGAGGAGAAGGGGGCCACAGGTCCTTGTTGCCCTCCGGCAACAGGACAGACAGGGACACTCAGGGGGCAGCCAAGAATGGGCAGTGCAGCCCTCCCGGTGCCCTCCACATCCACCCCAGACCCCTGGGCTGGTGCCTGCCCCATCTGGGCTCATGGCACTGCAGTGTTCAACACCACAACCGTGGGCAGCCATCATGGCCCCAGTGCTGGTGTGGAGCACTTGTCCTCCCCCTGTATCCTGCGACTGAGTTTATGTCCCAGCCACTGAAATGGACACAGAAGATGCATTCTCCATTTTATTTTAAAAAACCCATATATTTTCCATAGGACAGTACATGAAGGAACTGGGCAATGGTGCTGGACCTTGTCATCTGCCCCTGCCTTGCCCCAGCACTGCCCAGTAAGGTAAGGGGTTGCACCTGGGGTGAGAAGAGGCAGGTGCTGCTACAAATGGACACAGTAGACAAAGAGAACAAGACCAGTAGCTGGACCACATCACTGGAAGCCTTTTTGTAGCCTTCTCTTTTGGAGTTCATTCTTCTGGTGGCAAAGAAACTGTTTGGTGACAGTCCTTCTCTGCTCACAGCAGGGTAGCAAGGCTTCACCTTCAACATCCCAACAGCACTGCCCTGGCTGCAGATGATCTACCTCCAGCTCCAGCACCATCCCCTCTCCCAGGCCACCAGCACCAGTAACACCAGACTGCTCCCTCCCACTCAAGTACAGTAAGACCACAAGGGGAGGGAAGCAGGGATCAATCCAGAAAGGACAGCAGAGATCTGCTTCTGGCTAAAGCACACCAGGCACCCAGGTGAGATGGGTCCCATTGTCCCAGAGGCATGGGAGGGGAAAAGAGAGTTCATTCCTTGAGTGGTAGCACTAGGTTTCTGTCCAGCTGGAGGTCACAGCATTATCACTTCTCTTCCTTCTCTGCTGAAATTCTTCACTGCCCGTAGCCCTGTTTCATCGGATGATGGGTGCCGAGCGGTCATTGGTGACTGTGGGGCGCAGCTTGACTGTGGCAAAGGGGTTGGTACCTCTGGAATGGGAAAGGAAATGGGCAACCATCAGAAAGCCTGCAAATGTCATACAGGGATGTCTGGCCAAGCAAAGGCCACTTAGTCCTGTTGCAGTCACCAACATGCCAGGGAGGAGAGCATGGTAAAACATACTCATTCCTGAGTATGTTTTCTCCATCCTTAACACACCGTGCTGCACATTCCCATGTGGTTCCCCTTGGGCTCTCCTGAGGGCTCCTCACCCTCCTTCTTCCAAAGAATGAAGAAGGGACACTAGTACATGGCTGTCCCTCACAATAGCACTCTACACTTGCAGAGTGTACACCAACCCTCAAGCAAGGAATCAGGGAGCAGAAAAAGGCCAGAAAGCACACAGCACCACCCCAGAAACATGGAGACACTAACCCAGCTGCAGAGGGAAGAAACCCATGGATTTATTGCAAGTCTCATCCCCACAGACCTGACTCATCAGAACTCAAAGCCACGTGCTTTTATGCCTCAGCCCTTTCCAAGCAGGCAGAGATGCACAGTCATGTAGCTCCACACTCAGGCTGCGAGCTGCTATTGTGACCCTTCCAGGATGGATGGGAAGGAGAATAGGGGTCTGGACATGTGTTTAGGGTGCTCAGGTCCCACCTCATTTTATATGAGCCAGGGTAGGACCTTCCCAGTCAGCAGAGGTCAGAATGGACCACCTCTGCCTCCTGTCCTGGAAGGTAGGCTGTGCATCATTTTTCTCCAGACACTTCTTTGTTCCTCCCACATTTGATAATCCAAAATATTAAATAATAGCATTGCAATAATAGTCCCTTCTGTCAGATTATTCTAGAGTGGAGTTCCAGATCTTACTCACCGTGGGAAGAGTTCAGGGGGCTGGTCAAATACTCCTGATTTCTGCAGTGAAAAGAAAAGCAGCAGTGAGAAATCTGGAGTAGGGAATGGAGAGAGAAAATGGGGCAGGAGACACTGCACACATGGAGGAAGATCTCACAAAACACTTAGGTGAGTTAGGAGCCCAAGTCCTCTTAACAGGGCTCGGACTCCTTATTCAATCAAGCTTTGCAAAACTCCACAAATTCCCCACTGTAGATAACACCCGGAATTTTGTTGTGGGGGGTTGTCCCTACACCACAGGTTCCTTACTCCCCTAGGACATCCTCCTTTGTTTTGGGGAAGAAAGGGGATTACTCAGATCCCCAGAATGTCATATCTGAAGAGCACAGCAAACAGTGACAGTCTGAGCTATATTTCACCCTCCAGCGCAGCCAGAGATGCCCCCTCCTGTTGCCCATATACCCTGGCAAAAAGTCTGTCATCCATGGCCTCATGTGCTTCCTGCTTCCATGAGGAACTCCAGAGTTGTACCTACCTACCCTACACCACACATTTCTTAAAAGTGGACAAACCTGATGGACAAAGTTGGACCGAGGCCCTTTGGCCCTTATTCTTGGCCAGTAGATAGTGAAAGATCAGCAACAACTGACCTGCTAAAGTGCTCTGGTGGGAGACAAGAAAGCCACATGTCGCTATCTGGCATCCAGTTGGGAAGTCACACCCATTTGTTTGTGGCTCAGCTGGGGGATGTCTTGGGCATACATTTAAAGCAAGGCTGAATCTTTCCAAATTAGTCTTTCCCTCCTTTATAGTGAGGTTCCACACTCTGCCATGGTGTTCCAAATGCTGTACACAAATCATGACTCAATCCCAGGTCTATCCCTACACCCTAGCCCTGGGGCAGGATAAAGACCCAGTAACCCAGAGAGACAGAAAGGCTGCAGAGGCTGTTCCCCTGTGTTGTGCAGCCTGAGGCTACCTGAAACCACAGAGCAGGACATAAAGGGGTAAAAAAGAGTAATGAAATATTGCAGTTTTCAGTTCTTTGAGATATTCAATTGCTTGCAACCTTGCACTGTCCTGAAACCAGTTACCATGGAAAAGGTTTTCCAGCCCTCTGTGAGACTGAGCAAGTAATGCCCCATGGGCAGCACTGTTCTTTCCTCCCCCAGGTCCTCACCTATAACTTGGTCCTCCCCAGTCAATTCCCTACTGCTGGAAGCAATGGCAAGTGGAGGACTTCCTTCTCAGTATGCCATCCATAAGCATCCATAATTGGACACAACTTGTTCTAAGGCTCTCAAATATTGCTGTGCCCAGCCTTTGCTCCCAGCTTTTCCCTTTTTCCCCAGCTGTGACTTCAAGCCAACCCTGATCTGAATTTAAAAGAGGAACCCAATGAAACTCCTCTCCATTCTCGGAAGGGAGAAGAAGGATGGCATCTCTGTTGGCTGGTCACCCACTCCCAGACCAGCCTGGTCACTCCATGGTCCTACTATTAGCAGAAAGAAGTGCTGCCCTGGAGCCACCAGAAATCAGGCTGGGAGGTCATGGAGAAAAGGACTGAACTGAAGGGTCCCTGGTGAGCAAAAAGAGAGAGAGATGAGAAGGGCTGGGGCAGAAAGGCAGTTCCTTGAGGAAGCAAAGCCAGGCACCGAGGATCTGCACACAACAGGAAGGGGGTCATCTGACAAGGTGCCATATGAACAGACTGGGTAAGAAAGCAGCAGGAAAGACTCAGGAAAGCAGCAGGTCCCTTCACCAACATCAGAAAGGTGATTTTCTGTCTCTACAGCCAAAGCAGAAAAGGTGTGCCTTGGAGGATGAAAGTCAGATGTGGCCCACTTCACACACACACCGCCAGTCACTGCTCCTGCACTCACCTTGGAGCCAGAGTTGACTGGGGTGGCCACCCCGCTCTGGTGACTGCTGGCACCCACCGAGAGGGGAGGTGGGTTCGGCACGCTGGGCTGGGCAGCAGCAGGCCAGTAATTGCTGGAGGCTGGAGTGCTGGGACGGTCCAGGATGTCATCCATACTGTGACTGCTTCGCAGCGGGAAGGACCTGAGCAGGAGGAGAAGACATTGAGGTGGGAGCCAAAGAGCAAGGATCAGGGAGCAGCACAGGTGCTAGCACAACATGGGATGTCTCTGGAGGTTCTTGCCCAGTTGCAAGAACCTTTGAGGTGACATTGCACAGGTTATGGGAGCTGTCTAGGGAAGCCTGCAGGGTCCCAGAGCACAGTGAGGCTCTTGGCAGGCTCTGCAGCATGGGAGCCCTGCAGCTGTCCATGGGGCACACTCAAATAAACCCCACTGGCATGCGGTACCAGGAGCTCCTGCCCAGCCAATTGCCATCCTGTTACCTGGTGTCAGGCTCCTCTATCTCCCTCGTATTCTCCAAAGGCTTGACATAAGCTTCAGGGAACCAGCCACACCTAGGGAACAGGAACAGAGCCAAATGAGGCCCAGGCAAACATGATTTGTGGTTCTTCAGACCCAATTGCCAAACACTTCTGATCTGCACCCATCCCACACATCAATCAAGACATGTATGCCACTACCATGTGTGACAGGGTTCCTGCACTTCTTTCACCCATAGATGGGGCAAAGGGTTTTTGGTGGGACAGACCTTGAGCTTGGAGTAGGACTCACTTATCTCAGGAGCTGTGCAAAACCTGTGCTCCTGGGAGTAAAGTTGGTGCAATCCACCAAGAGATTGGTTGCACTCCAACCAACTGCAATCACAAGGAAGCTGTGGAAAACCTGTCCAGAAATTTTACACAGCTTCACTTCAGAAACAGACACCCAAAGAAAGGTGCTGCTTTTGTTCATCTCACATCTGTGAGCATTCCTGCAGACTACATCCTACGTGGAACAGGGCAGGCTTTACACACAGATGTTGGCTGGCAGTGCCACAGGGAGTAATTCGGTAAGTGCTGGGTGCAGCAGTTTCCATGCCCTGCCTGTGTTGGAGGCTGTGGCAGCAGCTGCAGTGTGAGCTAAGAAATGCCAGGCCTCTCAGGTGACTCCAGCAGTTCGTGGCCCTGAGCTGGATCCCATGACAGGAGTCACTCAGTCATGCAAGCCAGGAGGGGGTCACTGCATCCCTGGCTCTTCCACCCAAAGCCCCTGGAGGATTCTCAGGCAGCCCATCCACGCCAGCCCTGCCACACTGCATCTCCTGGGCACGGAGAGCCCCATCACTGAAGTGCTGACACAGCTCTGTCCTACTGAGATGGCGGGTGGGACACAGTGCCCAGGCCACACCAGGAGGCGAGGGGGGGATGATAATTTTGGGCTTAACCTTCCAACTCCAGACCCAACAGGCCTGCATCTGTCCGATTCACAGCAGCAGTGACGTACGTGGAAGAGCCCTCCAGCTTGCCATAGAGCCAGCCGTTCTGCGCCTCTGGCATCAGCACCGTGATGACGTCCCCGGGCTCAAACCGCAGCAGGGTCCGGTTGGCACCCGTTGTGTGGGGCACAATGGCCTGAACTCTTGTTGTGCCACTCCTCTTCCTGCCCTCGCTGCCACTGCTGGCCTCGCCAAAGGAACCCGAACGGGACGTGCGGCCCGTGGGGAGCAAACCTGTGGGGAGGCATGCCAAGGGTTGGCTGGAGTCTGGCATCCTCCTGCAAGACACACACTGCCTCAAAGGGACCAGTGCTTTCCCAGCCAATAATTACTCTAGGGGAGGAGCAGATGGCCTTTCAGGGAGAGGGCAAAACATAGCACGGGAAAAGCAGGGAAAAAGGAAAAGCATCCTGCAGGAGAGAATCAACTCAAGCCAAATCCATTTGTTTTGCACTGTGTCCTCTCTGGCCAAATGCCTAGAGCATAAGCACTGCATGCTCTGGCTGATGCACTACCTGCCTGACAGTCCTCTTCCTGACCTGCTAGAGCTACTGATTATTTGGGTAACTTCTCTCTCTCCCTGTCCTTTTTTTACTTCTTGTAAAAACTTTAAGCTGAAATTTCTCAGGAAGGAAAAACAGGTGTGTCATGGGTTAAGTGGCTGGGTTTCATAGGGCAAGCTAATATTTAATCTGGTAGTATGAGAGAAGTTGCTTTGCTAAAATGGGTATTCTAGCAAGAACCAGTTCTTGTAGTTCAAGGAGCCTTGAAAATTACACATTTATAGGTTCCCCACCTCACACAGCCTGGCCGTGCCCTGGATGGACTCTGCCTTGAAGGCTGAGCTCACTTTCTACTTCACCCTTGCCCTGTACAGCTCCCATTGGTGCTGTCCTCTCACCATGCACGGGAATGTGGCTGAGGTTTGGTGGTCTGGTAGAGTGGTGGTCCCTTCCCAAACCCAACCCTCTTCCCAGAGAGGTCCAGCCCCTGTGTCTCCCCACAGCACTGCTCTCAAATGTGGGTCATACTGGCTGCTGATGGTGTCCTCCGCAGTGGCCGCCTGGGAGACTCTGGCTGAGGAGACATTCTCATTTCTGGAGGGTCTGGAGAGAAGATGCTGGATCTACTCCCAGTCATAGAAGAAGTAAAGTCCCCAAGGGGTCTCTGGGACTGTTGGAAAGAAAGGGAGTTGAACACACATCCATGAAGACGGTTAGGCAGGAGATGCTCTGAGAGATATGCAGTCCCTTCTAGAAAGCCAAACTCAGCACATTCCTCTATTGCAGCCCACACACAGGCTACTCTTCCTCTTGGCCAGCAAAGGCCACTGGAGCTGAACAAGGCAGCAAGCACCGTGGTGGGCCAAGGACTGACCTTGCCCTGTAGCCTCACCACCAAAGAACCATTGAATATTTTGGGTTGAAAGGGACCTTTAAAGGCCATCTAGTCCAACCACCTGAAATGAGCAAGGATGTCTTCAATCAGATCAAGTTGCTCACAGCTCAGTTCAACCTGACCTTGAATGTTTCCAGAGACGGGGCATCCACCACCTCTCTGGGCAACCTGGTCCGATATCTCACCAAACAAGGTTAAGCTGTCTGTGGGCTCCTCACCATCTCAAGGTGGGTGGGTGTGAGCCGTCCTGATGGATACCCCTGGCCGTGGGAGGCTGAGAGCAGCCCCTGTGAGTGGCTGTTTGAGGGGTTACGGCTGGCTTCCAGCTGCTCCTTCCACCGTGGTGCCTTGGTCTGGATCATGCCGCGAGCCTGGGAAGAAACAGGGAAGAGGGGGTGATGGACAGGGCAGACCAGTTACGGAGGAAGCCTAGGACTTAGTGTGCATTAGAGACCAGGTCCTCCCACAATTAGGCCTGTGGGCATGGCAAAACAGCTCCCTCTAGGCAGGAATTTCCAGGATGGCATCCTCCAGCAGAGATCCCCTGGTCCCAAAGACCCTGATATAAACACCTACAGCACCCTTCCCTCCTCCATCACTCACACACACAACTAACCCCATGCCAGCACCACCCTCAGCCCCAGACATGTTCACCGAGCCTAGTACAGCCAGCCTGAACCTCACAGCAAGAAATAAAATAGTTTCCTGCCCAGTCCATGCAGAGATGCATCCTTCACCTAAGGGATGGCTCAGCCCTGGCTCCCTCCTGCCTGCATGCTCCCCCTCCAGCCCTGCTGTCTGCTCCCCCAGCTCTGCTCCCCAGCATGGCAGGGCTGTACCCTGCTGTAAAACTGGAGGAGAGTGTTGTAGAGCATCTGGTGCTTTTCAGCCAGGAAGCGGTAGCGGCGTTTCTCCTCCAGCTCAGCCTCCCTCTGGCTCTCAGAGACGAACGCCTGCATCTCTGAGCGCAGCCGCATCACATTCTCCTGTGCCACAGGGAAAAAAGGAAGGAAGGGATCAGTGAAAATCGAGCAGAGTGGGCTCAGGGGAAGGGTTGGAAGGGGTCATCATGTCTATCAGCTTCCCAGTCCTCTTGCAGTGCTGCAGCAGCAGAGAGGAGCTAGAGCAGAGTGCCAGGGATTAAGTCCCTGCTTCCTGAGGCTTCCTAAATGAGGAAAGGGCTTGGCAGGAGTGAGTACCACAGGTCAGTAGCACCCTGTAGAACAGGAGTTTCCTACTTTCCAGATAAGCCTGTTGCCTTTTGAACACTGGGGCAACCCCTTGGCCAAGGCTGCTGAGAAATCAGCCCTGGTTCCTGAGAAATTATCCAGTTCTTATTACCAACTCCCCTTCCTGCAATCACTGCTTACCTTCATCTCCCGGGCATTTTTGTCTCGAGCCCTCTCCATTCTCCACAGCTCTGCCATGCACTTATCCAGGTTGGTGGCTCTTCGCTGGTACTCCAGCTCATACTGCTTCTGGCTCTCCTGCCAGGAGAAAACAGGCTCAGTAAGGAGCCAGAGACCCAGCCACACTGTGAGGCAGCAAGGGTCCTGCTCTGACGGGTGGTTGGACATCTAAGTTCCCCTGCAATCAGGCTTCACCTGGACCTCTTATAAAATGCCTTTCTTTTAATTTTAAATGGCCCAAGAATGCTAATGAACCTCCAGATCTCAGGACTGGCACCCAGCTGCCCCAGCCCTGGCTCCCAAGGCCTCTGTCTTCCTCTGTGACAGTACCCAGCAACAAAGCCAGCTGGGGCACAGCATCACAGGACACACAGACAAGCAGGGTGATTTGGGGAAGCTGGGAATTCTGCTTTTGGAATGCTGGGTCTCTCAGCCCTGCTGAAGCATTTGGCAAGTCCCACTACACAAAGAACAGCCACCTGCCCTCTTTTAGCTCTCCATCATCAGCTGAACAAGTGGAGTTCATTCCATGATGGGAAAAAGTAAGACCCCCTATCTCCTGCTGAGAAGAATCACAGAAACACCTCAAGTGTTGAAGCAAGAACCCTTGGGTGAAGGGGAGAGAGAAATAAGGAGAGCTGAGGAGAAGGGAGTTCATCACTTACACTGATAAACTGCACATCCATTTTGCTGTTCTTCTCCATGTGCTGCAGCAGGTCCACGTGGAAGGTCTGAGCCTGAAAGAGGTGAAGGAGCCATCACCCTTATCTCTTCACCATATGAGATGTTGCATGCACCGTGATAAGGGGTGGCTCATAAAATGTGCAGAGCAGGTGACTGGCAGCCAGGCTTTGGGAGTGCCAGCCCTGTGACCCTCCTCTGCCATGTGCAGCAGGGAGGCAGGCACCTGCCTGCAGCCATGTGTGAGGGCAGCTGATGGGGTGAATATGGTAAATGCTGATAAGCTGTATTTAAGGAAATTGCTTTATTCTCCACCTCCACCAGCCCTTAGGAAAACCACTCACCACAACTTCCAAATCAGAGCTCAGTAGTCTCTGCGTGTCAGACATCTGCATCAGAATTTCACCTTTGAGGGAAAAAGACAGGAGAAGGTGTAAAAGTCCTGTGGCCGTTTTCTCGTGTGCCTAAGGAGGCAGTCCAGCAGTGTGCAGCTCAGGCTGATGATACATGGCTACGAAAGTCCAAGAGATATCACAAAGCACTGCTCTCTGCACCCTGGTAGCCTTCCTTCCCAGGCACTGCCAATGCAGGCTTACTCCAGCCCATGATGGCTGGACCAGTGCTCTGCTACAGCCCCAGGTGTCAGAGGCAGCCTCACCTCTGCCATGGGCTCTGTGTGCTGCGTTTCTGCTCTGCTACAGCCCCTCCAGGCCCCATTTCTAACCCCAAAGGCTCCCCAGCTGCCCTGCACATGTCTGGCTGTCCTATGGAAGGCAGCTCCAGCACTTGCTCCAATGGTGTGCATGGTCCCACTTCACTGGCTTTGGCCTTATGGAAAGGAAGAGACTGATGACAGGGAGCAGAGGAGCTAGCTGGGAGGACAGATGACAAGAAGAGTCTGCAGAAGGGCACCTCTGCTGGAAGATTTATGCTAAAATGTTTAGCTGTGGAGCAGTTCCCTGACCACGTTTTCAGCAGTCACCACCAGGCTGCAGAGTTATTTACACTGCTGAGTGCGAGTCCCTCAGCCCCAAGCTGCCATTCCAGCCAGTTGCAGGCTCAGGAGGACAAAACCCCACCAGTTGTTGTCAGTGCATGCTCCCTGGATTCTCCCTCACACTCTCAAGGAGGAGGAAAATATTCCCTCCATGAGGAAAATTTCATCTCTGGGGGCAGTATGCCTCAACAGGGACTGGTTTCTGTGATAGGTCCATCTCTGGAGGTCCATTACAGGTGCTGAGCTCACTCACTGATCTCAGAGAGATACAGGGAGGAGTACTGGAACTGTGAGAAATATTCAAGGGCATGCAATAAATTTAACTGTCACCACCTGGACAGGGCCTGGTACAGAGAGACACCATTTAGAGGAACTGTCTTTCTTGCCCCAGTACCTGGAAGTATACCACCTAAGGGAGAAGGTCAAAAAAAGGTAACTGTGGCCCACCACAGGAGAGAAGATGATGTGCAGGAGAGCCTTACCCAGCATGTGTGAGGTGGAACTCTGTAGTGCTTGCTCCCCAATCTTCTCAATTGCCTTAAAATACACTTCAGCTGCTTTGGATAGTGCTGTGGGGAGAGGAGAGGGGTGGTAAGGGCCCAGCCTGCCTTCTCACCATCACCAGCTCCAGCAAGCAGCACACAGAACAGCCACCTTCTGGTACTTCATCTATAGGCACTCCATCTCTCCTCATCAGCAGTGGGTCCTGGAGCTGAGGAGTGCTTAAGAGCAGCTCAGGACATGTCAGAGGTGGCAGACCAGCAGCCTTATCCTGGGTGAGGGGATGGGAGGTGCCCAGGCTGGATGCTGCACTGTGGTCTGGAGCCCTGGCTGTGTGGGACCGCACTCACCGTGGAAAGCACGCAGGTAGTTGTTCCCCAGGTACACCAGGTTCTCCAGCGCAGGGTTGAACTGCTCCAGGATACTCTGTGGCCAGGCAGAAGCACATTAATGCCATTTTTCCTTGTGCCCAGAGACCTCAGCAGGCCAAGGCCCCTGTGCTGTGGTGGGTAAGAGCCCCCTCTGGAGCTCTGGAACCGAGACAATGCACAGCCCAGCACAGCCCAGCACAGCCAGCTCCCTGCATCGGGGCTGGCTAGCAACCTCAGCTGCCCTTAGCCTGCCCAAGCCAGCCAGGAGAGGGGCTGTGCCAGAGGGCAAGAGCCCACTGCAGAGCCCAGTGGTTGCCTAAATGAAGATGGCTTTCTCCCAAAGGCCCACACCCACTGCAGGCAGGGGAGAAACTGCAAGGGGATCTGAGCAGCCTTTTCCCTCACCCCACAGCCAGCCAGAGGGCCACTGCTTATTATCCAGGCATGAACACAACCCTCTCCTGGCCGGGATGTGGTGCACTGCCAGACTCAGCAGCTTAGTAAGAGAAGGGATGGACAACCAGCTTCTCTGCTTTATTTGCCTTTATCTAAGATTACCCATTGGCTACAGAGAAGACCAGAGACTGGAATAAGCAATTCCCCACTTCTGTCAGCCCTCCCCCCTGTCAGTACCGATGTGTATAGGGAAGCATTTATGAGATCAGAGACTCTTCCAAGGGAGGGGCAAAACAGTCGATTGAACTTTTTCCTGCCAGCAACCAAGGTGTGTCACCCTTCAATGCTCCATGTCCAAACCACCCTGCCTGCCCAGTTCTTTCCTGAATCTGTCCTTGGGAAACACACCACCCTCTCCTCCAGCTTCCAAATACAGCCCAGAGCCCACAGGAGCTGCTGTAGTTCAGCCTGCGAATGGATTCTACCCTCAGCTGCACCCAAGGGAGCCTTTGGCAGAACACTCATCTCCCACCCACACATCCCCCATACGCAGTCAGGAGCAGCCTTTGATGCCAACACTCACCTTATAGATGGAGATGGTGGATCTGTAGGACAGATCCATCTCTGGAGCCTATTCACTCTGTCAGAGAAGCAAAGAGCAAAGGAGAGCACAAGGTGCTATTCTGGCCTGAAGGACTCTGCTTCTGCACAGCCAGCTGGATGGAGAGAGCCTGTCACCAGCAAGGAAGGACAGCAGGAAGACAGAGATGTGGTACAAAGGGAGCACTGATGGAGTTTAATAATTCACCAGCCGAGAGGCTGGAACTTGATCTCTGGAAGTAACCAGACTCTGGGGGGGAGAGAGGAATCCTGCGACAGCCAGCAAGGACATGTGACCGCCTCTTTGCATTATTGATTGCCAGCTTGGTACCCAGCTCTGCCTGCCCGACACCCGCGGCGCCGGCCACCTGCCCGAGTCCGGGCCTCATGGCTCGCTGCCCCGGCTCCGCCAGGCTGCTCGGCCTCACCGTGCCCAGCCAGTCAGGCCTCCTCAGGCCTCTCTCACCAAGGCCCCCCGCAAGTCAGGAGATCCCTGTCAGCTTGTGACAAAAGAGCAGCAGGCAGGGGGGAACGCAAGGAAAGCTCTACACAAATTTCAGCTCTCCCCTGCCCATATCCCCCCACCACCAGGCTTCAGCCCTCTGGCTCTTAGCCTCCCTCCCACTCCCAGTGAAACTCTTTAACAGCAGGAACAGGCTTCTATCTGAACCCTTTCCCAGGCTTCACCTCTGGTGAGCAGGGACCAGCACTGCCATTGTGATTTCTTTTGGGTATGTGTCTTGGAAGAGACAGATCAAGCAAAACTTAGTGTTCTATTTTTTAGGCCTGGACAGCTCCAAGAGGATCCTCATATTGCAGCTGGTCCAAAGCCTCTCCACTCTGCTTGCAACTGCTGTGGGGTAACCAGCCACTCATACCACCCATGTGCTCCCAGGGCTGGCTGCAGGTACAGCTCATTCACCTCTTCGGCCCATACAAATGGTATAAATCCTGTGTCTCAAGGAGCCCTTTCTCTGATTTTCCACCCATAAGAAATTCAGAGCCTGCAAGCCTAGAACCCCTCTGGGAACTCCTAGGATGGAGAGAAAGACAAGACCACCATGGACTAAATGACATTGGAAACAAATGCAAATCCCTCTTTATTTTAGGACATGTTAGTTTCTCACAGAAACAGGCAGCAGCAATCCATTCACAGCAGCAGTCCATTTTCTTTCAAAAGAAAACCATTAAAAATTCAGTTTTTCAGGTTTCTCCTCAAAACACCTCCAAATAGAGACACAAATTATTTATAAATATGCAAAAATTACTGCAGAAACAACTGGTGTAGCAATCACAGTAGAATTTCCAGTAGTGATAAAAAAGTAAATCCAAATTGTCCCAAGGTTGGCTTCTTTGGTGGGAACCGATCTCAGAGCACTTCAGTTTCATGTGAAGAATAAAGAGAACTGATCTCTACAAAGCCAAGGCTCTTGTCCCTTCCACTGAGCTTGCTGTAAAGACAGGCTTTCACATCTCAGCCCTTGAGTAAAGTGTAACACAGCAAATCAGTGGCACATAAAGTCCTGGCTGGGGGAGGCTGCTCCCTCTCCAGGCACAGTGTTGCCAGCCCATCTCAGAGGGAAAAGGAGAAACTGTTGCAGAAGACAAGTGCCTCATAAAAGGCTTGCCCTTCTCCAAGGCCAGTTGCAACTTTCTGCATCATGTCTACTGCAAAAAGTTGCAGCCTTTCTGCTCCCCTCCAAACTGGGTGTGTTGAGAGAAAAATAATCCCTTTTCCCCATACTATACACTCTGAAATACCTTGGGCCCAGTAGGCCAAGCAATCCCTGAAGCTTTATCAGGCCTAGGCCCATTCTGTGACGTAGGAAGGTGCACGGTGCTTTGTCAGTCAAGGTACTGCACAGACAGGAGACATTCCAGCTGCTACAGCTCAAGACAAGTAGGTGAGGGCTTTGGATTCTGGGTCAGAGAGCAGGGCAGCAAAACCAAGCACAGCAGCAGAGATGGGGTTACAGCACAAATATAACTGTCAGCATTTCACAGCTATCATACGTGTCATACATTCTGTGTCTGGGAATACATATGTATGTGCACTGTTGTCTGTTCAATATTAATTCCTCTCAATTATTACAAGTCTGTCCCCACCTCGACACCTTGGCTCAAGGGCAAATCTGAGTGATTTCAGTGTCTGCTGCTCCTTGCCTTCAGTGGGAGCCTCCAGGTCAGTCATGAGCAGAGATGTTGCACCAGCTGCTCGAACTGCTCCCGCTGCTGGTAGATGTAGAGCTGGGTGTCCCAGAGAGCGTTCACCAGCACAGCGTCGTTCACCTCGTCCAGCATCACCTCAGTGTGCAGCTGAGGGCTGAGTCTGCGGGCAGTGAGATAGCATCACCAGCTGGGCACAGACACGGAGGTGACCAGGCACGAGCCTGCCAAGCAGGACACTCCCACCAAGCAGCTCCCACCCACGGTGCTCGCTGGCCCTTGGTCTGTCAGGCTGGCAGAGCAGACACCTTCCCCCCCTTCAAGGCCCAGGCACACTCAAGGCTGAGCCACAGTGAAGCAGGGCAGGATGCACATCCCAAAGGGCCGTGCCACACAACACCTCCCAAACATCCCTTAACTAGCCCAGACCAGGCGTGCTGGGTGCCTCAGCTCCTGTGCAGGGCCAGGGCACGCTCCATCCTGTCACTGAGGCGTGTGCAGGGGGCAGCTCTGGGCAGGCGTGCCTCTGGGGGGATGCCATTTGGGATGACGCATGCCACAGCCAGGTCTGAAGTGACAGGGATAAAAATAGGTCTGTGCAAGAGAGCAGAAAGGAAGCTCCTACCGGAAATAGGGGACATCCGTCATCTCACACCAGGCCCTGGCACGATCCACAGCTGGGCCATCTGCGTCAGTGCACTGCAGGAGAAACAGGCCCGCAGTTACAGCCTGGCTGCTCTTCCCCTGCCTACAACAGGCTTCCCTGGCACCATGTCCAACTGCACAAGCCCCCGAGGGAAAATAAAAACCAGGAGCAAGGGCATCCTGGATGGCACTGCTCGCCACCAAGAGCTGGGCGGCTTTTCTTTATTCTTATTGTAAGGACAGTGCTCCTCCTTGGGCGACAAGAATTGCACCCTAGAGACCCTTCATCCATCACAGCGCAGAGTGGATTCCTTCACAGAAACTCCCAAGATGATCTGAATGACAGCCTCCTTGGGATTTCATCTGTATCCATTCTGACCAAGCCCTGTACAGCAGAGCCTGTGATTACATTACTGGGCTATCCTGGGACAGCTTCCCTGGGAGCCCTGAGATAAAAGACAGGAGAAACAAAAGGACTCTGGGCATTTTCTCACTTCAGGAAGCTAAAAAGGATATAAAGCTACAGCATTAAAATCACAGTCAGAACTTCAGTTCTGATCCTTCTGGCTTTCATCCATTTAGAGTGTTTTCATGAACAACATGCAATGATCTTCTTTCTGAAGCACACAAGTACATATGCCAACTACACACTCCTAACCACAGCTCTCAACTATTGTTTTTAATTAATGACTCTCTCACTTCTCTAGTATTTACTGATTTCCTCAGTAGGAAAAACAAAGCTTTTCTAAAGAAAAATGAATTGCTGTTTTCTGAGGCATGATTAATTTGCTTTTTCCCCAGGTTGCTCAGATGATAAACAATGCTTCCTGGAAAGATACTGAGTTTCACAAACACACACCTGCAAATGCTCCTAAGAGTCACTGACCACCATGCTGTCCTTAGCTCCTTTCAGCTGCAAGAATATCCCTTGGGGATGAGTGTCCCTTTGGGGCATTCAAAACTCCAATTAATCAGACAGGTCTTCAGGCCTGCAGTGCTCCTGCAAATCTTAAGTTACCCACTACATCCATGGTCAGAGCAATTCCAAGAAAATAGAATTTACTTCTGAAAGGAGGAAGCTGGAAACTGGAAACCTTTTCTCTCTTCCTGAAAGCAACCCCAGGGGTCTTTTGCCTCCTCACAGTACTCACACAATCCACCACCATCTTGCCAAGCTCCCTGGCTCCAAAGACGGTCTTCGCCAGTTCCCAAGGGTTTGAGGGGCGGAAAACATCCACAGAGCTCACTGGGACCTGCGGAGGCTTCCCTGTTCCCAGGGAGACCACCAACCCCAATTTCCTCACTTCCTGCTTCCGACCCTGAGGACAGACAAAAGATCAGTTTGCAATGACCAACAATGAAAGTGAAGCATGTCTTTCACAGCAGCTTCTCGGGGAAGCTCTGAAAGCCAAGGCAAAAGGCTCAGCAGCCTTTTCTTCTCCCATCCTCCCACACCCAAATCCATGGGACCACCCTGGGGATGCGTCCTAGCACCAGAATACCATGAAGCACTCCAAATCTTTGGTCATTTTGGCAACACACCTCCCCTTTCAGCTACAAGGAGCAATAGCTGCCACTGCTTATTCAACTTTTTGAAGAACTTGCCACACCCAGAAGACATTCACTCCTCAGCCTTGCAGAGTACCTTACCCTTGTCTTCTCCATTTATTTTTGGGCAGAAAAAGGCTCTGCAGAGCCATGTCAACATCAACTCATCCACATACAACCATCAACTCAATCATTCTGGTTCAAAGAAGCAAGGAGAGGCTGCTGAGACTGTCTCCCCCTCTCACACACTTGTTAGAAGAGGTATCTCACCTCCCAGCCACTATTCCCCACACATATCCCCCTCCATACACTCCCTTTTAGCGTGCTGCACTGCAAACTTGCTTATCTACTAAGATGCATCCAATCTCACACCCGCTTTTTCAAGAGAGGCTCAGAGAGGCCAAAAAACTCCAGTTACCAGTCAATGCTAGGATTTCCCTCACCTTTTTGATCAGTGTCTTGTTGTACTCGTGGATCTCTGCCATGGCATCAAGGGTGGGGTTGTTGGCCAGCAGCCCTCCATCCAGGAAACGGCCAATGGGCCGGAAATAAGTGGGAGCTGCACCGCTGCAGCGAGCAGCACGCCACACAAGCTGCTCTGCAAGGGACAGAGAGCAAAAGGCCTCTTGTAGCAACTCTGCTGTGCACAAGAAGCTTTCCACCTCCACCAACACAAATCAAGATGGCTTGCAATCCCAGGAAACCCTGCCCTATATGGCTGTGCCTCTTTCTCCCAAGCAGGGCTTCTGCCTGGATGCACTAGATGACTCTGCAGTCCTTTAAAAGATGTTCTCACCACTTCCTACATATCCTGGGTCACATTCATTCTCTATCCATTTTCTTGCTGCTATTTTGATAGTGAATCATTTATGTGTGCCAGACCAGGCAGTAAGCAGGAGGGGGC